TTTTGCATTATACTGTACTATTATAGGTAATATTTTTTTCTTTATTAAAGCGCATCAAACAATGAATAAGTACGAATAAGTACGGGCTTTGGCTGCTTAACGTTTGTTGACAAGATGAACATGGCGTTTAGTTTAATTTTTGAAGATAAAGGTATCTTTAGATGTTTTCCCAATATACATATGTGCAATGTACATAGTATATAGTAAAATATAAGGTAATAAAAACAACAAGATTCATGTTGTATAATATTTTTATTTATTTATAAGCCTCTTTGTTTCCATGACCAAGAATACATTTAAATTATTTTATATAACGTTATGATTGATTATTCTAATAATTTGATTCAATAAACAGTAATATTATTAATTATACCTTTTTTTTTGATTAGTCATTATTTCGGGTATAGGCCTCCTCCAAGTGCCTCCACTTTTTCCTATCTCTAGCCAATTCCATCCAGTCTGTGCCTATTATTTTAGTGATCTAATCGATCCAGCGTTCTTTTGGTCTGCCTCTTGCTCTTTTTCCATCTCTTGGACCCGCCCACTGAGTTGCCTGTTTGGTCCATCTTTCGTCAGAGGTTCGTGCCACATGTCCCATCCATCTCCACTTCTGACATCGCGCGTGTTGTAGTGCGTCTATTACTTTGGTCTTGAGCCTGATTTTATTGCTGTTTTGCCTTTCAATGAGTTTGATGCCCAAAATACTCCTTTCCATAGCTCTCTGGCATGAACATATTCTTGACACCGTGTATTCGTTGAAAATCCAGGTTTGAGCGCCGTAGGTTAGACAGGGCAATAAATTCGATTCCAATACTTTTTTCTTTAATCTTAGTGGAAGTTTTGATTTTAATATTTTTTTGTAGCTCCAGTACTTTTTCCAAGCCATATTGATTCTCCGGTATAGTTCGTCTTTGTGTCTCGTGTTTTTGAAAGAGATTAGTTTTCCTAGATAAATGTAGTTTTCTACGTATTCAATGGGTGTTTGGTTTATTTCTATAGCGTTCTGTGCACCATTGGCTACTTTTGTTTTCAATGTGTTAAGTTGCAGGCCAATACTTTCACTGGATTCACATAGCTGCCCTAGCATTTCTTGTAGGTGACTCGAAGTATTTGCGAAGAGAACAATGTCGTCTGCAAACCTAAGGTTGCTAAGAAATTTCCCATCTATTTCAATTCCTTTCCTGTCCCAGTCTAAGTCTTTCATGATGTTTTGAAGGACTGCAATGAAAATCCTTGGTGATAGTGGATCTCCTTATTTGACTCCTCTGTTGATGTTGAATTCTGGGCCTAACCTGTCTAGTTTTACACGAAGTTTATTTGAAGACATCATGTATGCCTTCATACAACCTCTGTGGTGTTCGTCTACGCAGGTGCCAGGCAGGCAGGAAAAGTATGACGACGAAGACATATTGATTGACGTTTGGGTGGGACGTATGATTTTCTGTTGTGTATATATTTTTTATTAATTACTGTCAATATAACGATTATATCAGGAAAAGTGTTTCATTGTTTTACATTTTATTAAATTCTTTGTGTTTCTCTACTATTTGTTCGAGGGTGCGGATGTGGTCGATAGTAGAGTAGCCTGGTCGAAAGCCTGCCTGCTCCACTGGTTATTCGTTCTGTATAGTTGGTGCTATTCTTTTCTCAAGGCACATTGCAAAGAGTTTATATATGGTTGGAAGCCGACTGATTGGTCGGTAATTGTTAATTTCCGCCGGGTCTCCTTTTTTGTATAAGAGAATTATCTGTGTAGTGTTGTTTAATATACTCGTATGTATTATCATCCATTAGGTGACAGTCATGAATAGTTCTAGCTTGTATTGACAATAATGTTATTTTTAATTTTGATTTGATTTTTAATGTTGAATTTTTATTGAACGACCTCAAAAAAGAAGTAGGTACTCAAATCGTTTTTTTGTGTATGTTATGTTACTCGATATTTTTTCCAATTGTGAATTGATATCCATAATAATTTTATTTTTAAATAACAAGTTGTGCATCAAAAAATCAAACCACTTAGACCGTATTAATCATTTACTTTGAAATTAATTTAAAATCAGTACCTATATCTTTTTCAGCCAAAAGTTATAAGTTTATTTTTGACTATTTTTATTCTTATTAACGATTCTAATTAGACTTTTCATTTTGTTTAAAGAATAAGTTAACCTGACAAAATTCGTAATTTTAATCTTATTGTAATCTGTAATATAAGTGAAAATTATTCATATGTAGAAAAGAAAACACAATCTATATTAATATAAATGCGTGAGTTGCAATATTACGATAAGATATGTAATACACAAATTAATTATAATAATAGGCAAAGTTGCATCCAAGGGAATGATTTTCAACACATAAAACTTGAAGGAACGAGCTTCTGTATAATTGATGAATCGTTGAATGCCTTGCAATTTATTTTGATCTGTAAAAATATATAACATTCGTTACTTTTTATATTAGTGTCAATTTTTTTTAAATCACTGTAGATAAATCTTTAAATTGTTATTAAACTCAAAATGTTGTTATATAATATTCAACAAAAGATCAGATAATCTCACCGTTTTCTTCCAGCATAGAATTATGCAGAGTTATTCTAATTTTATCCACTTCAGTAGGTAACGACGATGCGGCTATCGATGGAGCGAAAATTACAATCAAGAATAATACTATTGAGATACACTTCATCGCGCATTCATCTAACGATATCTGCAAGAAATAACAACTTTTATCAAAATAACAAACAAAAATATTAGAGTTTGAGACAAAAATATGATTATATTATGAGATTATTTGTGTTTGGTGTTGTCCCAATTTCCGCCTACATTATGAACATACTGACTACCCGTGTCAGAGAGTCCCAACTCCCTACAAATACACTAAAACCATTCTAATGACAATTTTCTAAATCAAGTGGAGATTCTGCAAAATGGTGCCTTTCGAGTTCATTACAGAAATGGAATAATTCAACTTCTATCATCAATTAGAACATTTGAAAAAGAACAAGAATACAAACGAAAAATATTACCATATTCATCTTAACATCCCTCAATACTTCATATATGATGAACATCACACTCGGCACGTTAAAGAATAGAGTTATAATTGCCTGAAAATTATGGTTACAATATTTTCGTTTATTTTTTTTTACAATTAATGATACAGGAACTTTCATAGCAAATTTTTAACAACATTCTGGAAAATTAATTACTTACACTGTAAACTTACCAAAGGTTCGAACGATTTTTTGACAGTTTCAGTAAAGTCAACGAGTAATTTATATGTACGCTGAAGTTCTATTGCTTCCAGATTTTTATTTTCAATACATTTTTGAATACAAGCAAGTCGCCAACGGACTAAGTGAAATGTGAAAAATATTACAATAAAAGGTAAATCCGATGACATAAAGGGTATTAACGACGCAATATGTGACCATTGATTCACAACACAATCTCCATACATAAAGCAGTATATTGACGTAGTAACAAATTTAGAAATAAGAGACATGAAGTTCCAAATGATTATCTTAAAACAAAAATATCTAGACGAATGTACACCAAGTTTTGAATCGATTGACTCCAAATTTTCTATGAAGTTAGAAAAGGAGTTTTGCTGTGGAATGAACATTAAAATTGCAATGTAAATTATATTTTCAATAAGACCTTTCAAGTACCAAAAATTAAAAGATTGGCTATTTTCAGACTCATTAATCAATAGTACAAAGCATTGTAAGTTAACAAATACAATGTAAGCAGCGATCAACAATTTGGCTATGACTGTATGCTGAGTTGTTTTTAGTTTAATAAACCCAAAGTCTAGGCCAAATGTAAGGTGCAATATTATAAAGAAAATTTTCATGCTTTTTAATATGCCGGAATTTCTGATTTTATGAACACTCTTAACTTTGTTAAAAGGCTTTACTTCAATCATGGTTGTTTTTAAAAGAACCATTATTATGTGCTTACGACTTCGATGTCTCTATAGTATTAGCACTTACATCAAGTTAATGAAGTTGTTTCAATTTCGTTTTCATTCAATTACATTAGTCGCCTTAATATTTTATTAGTTAAGTGAATAGAAAAAAATAAATTATATATAGATATAATTAACCAGGTAGTACTTTTATCCAACAAGGCAACTTTGCATATTTTAGAGTATCTATTTATTTCCATATTAATAAAAAAAATTTTTTTAGGGTAGTCGTACCCGCCATATTTACGTCCACCTCCGTAATGCGCTCTGTTCATGTCTCATTCTTTTTCTTGCGAAGCAACATTCGCACACGCTCAACTATTAACAGTAATAAGTGTTTAACAAAACTAGTAAAGGAGTACATATTTATAATGCCGAAGAGAACTAAGGGGGAAAAACTTAAATATTATAAAGAAAAAATAGAAAGCTAAACGAAATAAATAATCGAAGAAGTATACATCGTAGAATTATACAATGAAAATTCAAGTGACAGTAATGTTACCGTTACGCAATATAATTCGTTGGCTTACTATTACAAGGTTCTATATTAATTTTAATGAAGTTTAGTAATTTTTACATAGAACTTCGTTATTTTGTTATCGTAAAAAACAACAACATAGAACTATGTAAAATTGAATATTTTGTAGTTATAGTGCCGCTATCTAGTGGTTTGTTTTTGCAAAACTTTAGCTAATGACACATAGAACCTTGTAGCATTAAAAACTAAATAAGTACTAAAATTGTAACATAGAACCTTATAATAGTGAGCCAACGAATTATGTGAGTGAGTCAATATATTTATACACATACATAATATGTATGTATATTTTTTTTCTTGAGTTTAGCCGAGAGATAAACAAAGGAATACGTTCTTGAATATAGGCCGAAAGTCAAATGTCAAGACGTAATAAGTATGTTAATTCCTCCACGACCGCGGGGTTACAATTAACAATAGATTTCTTAGAAATTTAATTAATTTATTAGAAATTTACCTGGAGGTATTAAAACATGTTTTATTTGTATTGCAGATGTCGAAACGCAATCGAAATATAACCAAAACGAAGGCAGTTTACCACGCTCTGTATTAATAGACGACGAGGGAATGGAACGTGATATTGGGTTGGAAGCTGTAGATATTCCCCAGATTGATATGGGGGCTCCAGGGGTTGCATCGTATCCTGAACTAACGTTCGAATACTTGCAAGCTCTCGGGGATGCCGTCGATGAGGTGCCGCAATATGGAGAGGAAATCCATAGTAACTTAGCGCAAAGGTGGCTGCCATTACCGCGTAAGGACTTGCCAAAGAATACACGAGATCTTATATTTAAGCCGTATATAACATGTACCAAGTAATTGTAAATGATTAAAAGCGCCTTTGTTAAACGCTGAAATATCAAGTGCTATTACTGAATCACTTAAAACACGAGATAAAAAAAAGAAAATTGTTAACAACAATTAGGTATAGGGATTACTGCTATTAACAGGGCATTGACGTTATTCCTAACAGGTGGTGATCAAATACAATCCATAAAGATATTGTCAGATGCATCTCGTATTTTATGTGATTTACACTATCAAAATACAGAAACTAGGATTAAATTATTAACACCTAGTTTGGTCAAATCTTTGTTAAACGTTATCGAAAATAATCATGATGAGACAGTTTTCGGTGCCAACCTATCAGGAAAAACTAAAGCGGCAAAAATTATAGAAAAACAAGGGCTTTCTCCTGTTAAGAAACCTTCTATCTTCTTTATGACCGCGGCCGGGAAACTGGCCCTCCTCGGTTCCCATCAACAATCAATACAATAAATACAACAGTCAATACAAACGGGCAACGTGCCTATCCGACGCATCGACGTTAACACAGGTTCACGCAGGCCGTTTACAGTTATTTTATAATTGTTGGTTATTGATTACAGATAACTCAGTCATTTTAAAATGGATTCGCGAAGTGATTTCTATACCACTTGCCTGTCGGTTATTCCAAGGTTCCTCTCCAACATATACGTTGAGTAAATCAGAACAAGAAAGTACGAGTATGAAATTAGATATTGACATATTACTAAGTTTAGGAGCTATATCTGTATGTTCTCCAGTTACGGATCAGTATATTTCATAAATATTCTTGGCACAAAAACCTAATGGACAAAAGAGGTTTATTTTGAATTTAAAGTCTTTTAATAAATATATAATTAAATCTCATTTTAAGATGGAAGATCATTAAACAGCAATGAAGTTAATAATCGAAGAAACTTTTCTAGCAACAATAAACTTAAAAGAATCGTATATTTTAGTACCGGTAGCATACAATTTTCGTAAATTTTTAAGATTTAATTTTAAAAATTCTGATTTGAAGTGGTTCACCTATGTATATAAAAATAAAACCTACTGGTCACGAAAACTACTAAATTAAAGGCTTTATAAAATATTAAAGCAATTATCTTTTAATATTTTATGAAACCCATATGACAAAGTAATCTTAAAATATAATAATTTTGTAGAGTTGATAATACAAAGTGTACTTTTGTAACTGTAAAAATAATATTAGATTAATTCATTCATTATTATTGATCTGAATCTATGTATATAATAACTTTGAATTATTGTACTTCATTTGTTATAAATACATAACTTATAAATACGTTAAACTCTCTGCTTATGTAAAATTTATAAGTACGCGTACGCCTTAGATTTTTACGTGTTTATGTTAGCATAAGCTTGCTCCTTATTTCATCATGATTAATCCCTCCACGACTGCGGACACGCCGGCGTTACAGTTAACAATAGATTTCTTAGAAATTTAATTAATTTCTTAGTTAACCTGGAGGTGTTATAGAAATGAACACAATTTCAATGTTTTGTAACTACTTGTTATTTCAAAAGTATATTTCGAATATAGATTTGCTAATCAGCGAAATATATGATCTGAGCTGAATCTATTCGAATATATGAATAGGTATAAAATCAGTCTCCCTTTTTGTGTGGTATGTATACCATTCATGTGAGAACCGTGAAATTTCGGCGAGTTTTATTAATCCAATCAATAAAAGTAAGTAAGTTTTTCTTTAGTTAGTAAGAATTACTTACTTACTTACTCTTTTACAACTATGACGAGAAAGGTGTTCCACAAGGAACTATGCTTGGTTCTTTTCTAGTATCAGTGAATATTGTTTTTGTAATGCGAAGTACTTACCTATGATTCTTAAAAACAAAAAAAAAACAAATTGCATTAAACTTACACTACCTAACAGTCTTTAGATTAGGTTGTGTTTAAAAAAATTGGCTGTCCTAAAATCATAATTATCTTATTGGTCGTTTTTTTTAACTATTCGCAGATTTAAAACTTAAGTGGCACTACCATATTTTAGCTCTCACGGGTAAACGTAGTCCAATCAATATCTTTTTAGTAGTATACTGTGATATTAATCGAGTCGGCTTAAACAAATATGATTTGTTTATTTGTGGAACTTTCAGTTCTAAACCACATACTCGTAGATCGTCTTAAGTATCTAAATAATTACTGAACGGATAATTGTGTCTCAATCAAATGTATTGTTAATTTAGTTATGGGAGTTTTCGTTTTTTTACATCATCGGTGAGCAACGTTTTCCCGTAAATGTCATCCGTTGCCGGCACCGTTGATACTGGCACCGTTGCCAGCATAGATTATGTCACCCTTTTTAGTTGCCGCTCGATAGCGTTGTGGATGCTGACCGTTGTCGGGCGATGTAACGACAACTTTAGTTAGTAAACGAGTAACGGTATAATATCATGCGATATTGTTTAGTGTAGATAATATGACATTGTTATGATAAAAAATAGATGTTATTATAAACTAGTTTAATCATTTTTACTTCAAATACCTAAGCAATTAAATGAATTTACTACATACTATTGTTTTTGGCAATTATACCTACCTATGTTTTGAGATAATTTAAATTATGTAATGGGAGACAAAATAAAATAGGCCTATATATAAAAAATGAAACGAATGGAGACGATTCGATTCATCGTGCGTAAAGCGTGACTCGTGAGTTGTCGAATGTCGTAATTGGTGCGGGCAACGTTACATCGATAATCCAGCAACGGATGCCAGCATCGGTTAATGACATCGTTGCTCATCAACGTTTTATAGGAAATGGCCAACTCTAATTGTTATAATTTACGAAATATCACCGCAGACTAATTAGAAAAAATATTAACTTTATATCGGTTTGTTTATCTGAGGTAACCTTTTAAGCAGTTAAATTGATTTCGACACATCAGTAAAAAGACGAAAGAAATCTTGCAATCAATATTTGTTTACTATCCGCTATCACTGGTTTGTACTACGTTCAAGAAGACACAATAATAAGACAATATAGTTGGAGAAGCTATGAGCTTCTGAGTCTTTCATATTTTAAATTATTATATTTTTCTATATAATTACATCATCATCTTAGTAGGCACAAAGAGGGAAGGACATTGGGAAACGGGAAGATTAATTATTAGGTCAAAATTCAAACATTTTTTTATTTCGCTTGGACAGACTAGCTTATAATTAAAATTACCTTAATTTAGACATTTTAAATAAAACTATCTTTTCGGATTATTTCGCGGATTTAGAATTAAAATCTACAAATATTGTACCTACGGTACTTTGATGCCATGTTTGAATTTTTAAAATCTTTTTTGTAAAATAGTGGGTAGGCACTGTCTGTAACAAGTATGTAAACAACGCCTTTGAGACGTTTAAAACTTTAGTCTCTCCCGTGACCATGATTGCTGTAAAGCATTCGAAACGTCGGGAATCAAAAATCAAAATAACTCCGCAAAATAATCCGAAAAGATAGTTTTATTTAAAATGTCATATATTTGCGTAAATCTAAGAAAGGATTATGTGTATCTTAATTTAGCTTATATAATTTAGCTTATATAAATAAAGGTTATGGTCTAAGATCCGGCTGCAAGATTGATACGTTCATCGAGTACTTAATCAAAATCATTTTTTTTATATACAATAATAAAAGGGACAATATGTTTTATCCAGGTTGCCTATTAAAATGTTCCCGCCAGCATTTTTAATTAAATTAATAATAATTTACTTTTTAAAACAAATTCGATGCACTTGTTTCCCGACTTCCAATTCCAAATAGGAGGAGGTTCTAAATTCCTCGGAATATTTTTTTTTATGTATGTTTACCGATTACTCGAAGAAATTAATGGGTATACTTCCCAGGTTTTCCCATATAAATTTTATCGAAATCGGTCGAGCGGTTTTTAAAAAAATCTGCAATAAATATATTTTTTTAAATAAATTGTTTAATCAAATATGTTATTAAAAAATTTATTTTATTCTTACAAATTACCTGCTTATTACGTCTACACTAAATATAGAAAAATAAAAACTTTTTAACAAAAAATAAAAACCGACTTCCAGGCACTAAAATGTAACAAATAACTAAACGGAGGTTTTCATTTAGAATACATACCTAATCAGATATTTTCGAAGTCGGTGTCAGCCTACAATATTTTAAGATATGAATATCTAATAGGTAAATATTATTAAAATAAAACTATCTTTTCGGATTATTTCGCGGATTTATTTTGATTTTTGGTTCCCGACGTTTCGAATGCTTTACAGCATCCATGGTCACGGGAGAGACTGAGGTGTTACATGTCTTAAAGATATAGTTGTTACAGACAGCCTACCCACAATTAACAAAATGAAAATTGCACCAATTACATTACAATATTTTTAACTTTAAACATTTTTTATAATTTTAATTATAATTGAATATGGAAAATTATTTATTTAATTTTTGCTATTATTTTTATAATTATTACAATTTTAAAAATATTAATTAGTAATCTATATTTAGTGTTGCCATTATTATATTTATAACCATAAATAAAAAATATAAAAAATATAGTATTAATTATTAAAGCCATATAATTGTTCTATGTGTAATTTAAAAAGTTAAAATTAATTACGGATAATCATTTTAATTTAGTTTGCTATTATTTAAAAACAACTTACTAAGCAACACTATTAATATATACTTTTACAAATGAAAAATATTAATCTGATAAGCTGTCATTTTGATCTACACAGTATGAACTTACTACATCTGCCTGTCTGTTATGTTTATATTTATTATTTGATTTTATTATATTAATAACAGGATCCCATGACGATGGTAGTACCCAGCCATCTTCCCTATTGAAATTTGGATGTTTTTTAATTTCTATGGCTTCTCGAATCATTCTAGGGCGATATCGGTTTTCTTTCGCCAGGATTTGAGGTCTATCGAAACGAATATAATGGCTTGGGCGGTCCTGGCTATGTTTGCAGACAGCAGATGTTGTATTGCGACGGTGCTTCACATCAGCTATGTGTTCTTTGACCCGGGTTCTAATGGATCGTTTTGTTTGTCCAATGTAAGAGAGCCCACAATCACAATCAAGCTTGTAGACTCCTGCATCTTGTAGAGGGATGTGGCACTTGACAGGTGGTAAGAACTGACTAATTTTCTTTGGCGGCTTGAAGTAAGTTTTAATTGAAGCTCGCTTTAGAATGTAGCCAATCTTGTCAGTGACTCCTTTCCTGTATGGCAAGACTGCAGGGACGCGCTCGACTGTGGCTGGTTTCACTCGGTCACTGTGACGCAGGCGCGGCACTTGCAGCTTGTTGTCACGCAGAACTTGCTTGACATGTTGCAGTTCTCCGGCCAGGTGTTGCTCGTCACAGATCCCGCGCGCTCTCTGAAACAGAGATTTTCCCACGGTAGCTAACTGTGAAGGATGGTGGTGAGATTCACCGTTCA